TTAGGGGTATTACATGTAGTCATCCAACCTTCAAGGGCCATCTCCATGGTAGGAATGATCTTCTTCTTGATGGAAACCCTAGATAAATGGAAGAACTCCCAGATGGTGTGTAACTCTCTAATCTCTAGACTCCTCTCACCTCTCTCTCCAAGATTGTGTCCCTCCTTTGTAAAAATGGCTCAAAATCCGTATATAGGTAGCTCAAGTGTCACACCCAATAGTCAAGCCTCATGCACTAGGGTCCCTTCAATGATTGTACCATGAGCTATCTTTTAATAAGCTGGAATCTGTTTTTTTTTTTAACTTGAGGGGGTTCGATCGATCGAAGTTTGGTGAGATCGATCGAACCATGGCGGTGCCTTTTGGAGTACTGACAGATTTGAGATATTTTCGGGATATTTTGGGAAAAAGACAAAAGTGGTAAGTGGGGATAAGATCAAAGAAGTTCGATCGATCAGAGAATTGTTGGATCGATCGAAAAAGGTATTTTGGTGAGGAAAATGACAAAAGGCTCGATCCATCTTGAAATGGTTGGAACAATCACTGTGAGATCGATCTGATTTTGGTCTGATCGATCGAAACTTGTTGTTTTCCACCTCTTTGCTTCCACTTTACTCATTTCTTCCATTGAGCTAGAGATTGTAACTTTTATACTCTAATTTGGCTGAATTGACTTATTTTGGGGATAAGTGCTTGAAAAGGGCAATAACATGAAATAAGTCTAAAACGGTTAAATAAGATAGAATAAGGTCCTAGAGTACTCGAGCTTAAGGGGTTTAAATGCGCACTTTTCAGCGCTCATCAACTAGGATGTAGTCGTTCCTTAAGTCTCTGTAGGATGTAGTAGAAAGAACTTGTTTGTGGGTCTGACCTACTATTTATTTTTCAGGTCTATATCAGCATCAGGTGTAGAAATTGTTCATGTAGAGTAAAGACCAATTATCATCACTCTTTCAGTCATCTACATAAGATTCTAGTTTATATTTTTGGTATTCATATGTAGACATTTATAGTATTATTTATTTCAGTTTGGGATTTTATAGGGGTCCACATAGTATGGATTCCCGAATTGTATTTTGGAGAATTATTGTTATCAGAGGAGATTTTTATTTAATGAAAGTTATTTTGAGGATTTAATAATTATTTTAGTTTTCCTTTCAGCATTTTATTATTCTTTTGTATTCTGTGTTCGTTTATTGTTAAATATTCTAATATCCTCGGGTCTTCGGGTGAGGGCCTGGCCAACCTACACTTGAAAATTCAAGGATATCACACAAACCATGAACTTATGCAAACCATGTTCACAAGTTTAAATTAACCAAATAAGATATTTTGTTATATATTTTCTATAAATGAGGTCAAATTGTTGAAAATTAGTTTTGAAATCATTATAATCAAGCAACTTGGTCAAAATTAGGTGGGTTCCACTAAACTTTTGAAATAGGTCCACAATGGACACTTCCCTCTCCAATATGGGATTAGATAAGCTTGATATTTTATCCGCTCAAAATCGTTTTCGGATGAATGAGAAATTAAATCCAAAGTGAGATATTTGATAAGCATTTAAAAAGATGAAAATGAATTTGTTGGAATGTTTGGAGAAGAAGGAAAATTCGGTAGAGTATAAGGTTTTTGTTTGGATGTAAAATATTTTTTAGAAAATATATTTTTTTATATTTTGGTATTTGTTTGTCGTAAAATATTTAAGAAGAAAAAAATATTAAAATATAACAAAAATGACTTACCTATCAATTTCGGCAAGTTATTTTACTCATCTCATCCAATGGACTCGACTTTAACCTAGACTTTTGTCAAAAATAAAAAAAATAAAAAAAAAATTACATGAAAAAAATATATTTTACGTCAAAACAAATGAAGCCTTTGAAATTGGGTTGTTGAGGCAACCAAGTCAAGCTTTGGTCTAAACCCTCCAATACACGTGTTTCGTTTGGCCTAGAAAGATAATCTAAAAATATTTTTTTAGTGTTGGGCTTCGACCTATTTAATTATTTTCGATTTCAGAATATATAACATAAATCTTTCATAATTCAAACAAATTCCAATCAATCAAAAACTTATACTGCGTTTGGTGTGCAGGAATGGAATGCCCATTCCAACCATTCCTTTGTTTGGTATGTAATTTAAAGTGGAAATGGTGATTCCATTGAAATGAAAATCCATTCCACAACTAAACCTATTGAATAGCCATTACATTCTCAAGTAAATTTAAAAAAAAAAAAAAAAATCAACTTCCCAAAAAGCCCTCATATTCTAAGTCCAAAAACTATCACTACCTTCCACCACAACCACCTCCACCTTTCACCACTGTCACTATCGACTTCCACCACTACCTACCGTCTTTCACCACCACCGTCTCCATCGACTTTCACCACCGCCCACCACTGCTGCTCCACCATCGCATTTCACCACTGCTACCACCTTCCACCATCGCTACTGCCATTGCCTTTCATCACAACCTCTACCACCTTCTACCACCACCATCACCACCTTCCACCACCACCACCTTCCATCACCACCACCTTCCACCACTACCACCGTCACCACCTTCCACCACCACAACAACCACCTTTTGCCACCGCCACTGCCACCACCATCATTGCCTTCCACCATTACCACCGCTTCCTACCGCTACCACTGCCACCGTCTTCCACCATTGCCACCACCACTACCATCACCACCTTCCACCACCGCCACCGCCACCGCCACCGCCACCGCCTTTCACCACTACCATTACCTTCCATCACTGCCACTACCAATGCCTTTCACCACCGCCACCGCTATCGCCTTCCACCATCGTCACCATCCACCACTGCTAGTACCTTCCACCACCACCACAGTCACCTCTATTGACTTCCACCACCGTCAACTACGCCATTATCTCTTTCCACCACTACATTACTGCCACCGCCTTCCACTACTACTGCCGCCACCTTCCACCATTGCCACCACCGCCGCCGCCGCCTTCCAACACCACCGCCTACACCACTACCACTTTCCACCTCTACCACCATAGTCACCACCATCCACCACTGCCGTTGCCACTATTTATTTTAAAAAAAATTATAATAGAATGTCATTTTATTTATTTTATTTATTTGTTATTAGAGGGATATTTTGGATAACTCAATTTGAAATTTATTCCAATCTAAGTTTTAAATTGGTCCAACAAAATACTAGAATTATTATCATTCCATTCCTACACATTTTATATTTACAACCAAACAATAGAATTCTTATTCCATTTTTACTTGTTTCATTCCATTCCATTCCATTATATTCCTACACGCAGTACACTAAGGGCCTGTTTGGGAAGTGTTGGGTGGTGTAGTGTAATGCTCTAGCCTAGAACAGAACAAATGTTTTGTGATGTAGTGTTCTGAAATGAGAACAAAACATGTTTGGGACGAAAATTTGGAGTGAGAATTTTGGAATAGAAATTATTTTTATTATTTTTTTAATGATTAAAATAAATAAATTACAGAGCTTGATTAGTTGATTTAGAAAAAAAATTAAAACAAAACCCATACACACAAGTTAGCAGTTGCAGAGAGAGAGAAGGGGCAAGCTTGAGAGTTGAGAGATCGGCTGAAGAGAGAGATAGACTAGGGCAATTGGGAGGCTGGAATGATTTGCCCTAAAAGTGGATTTGCAGAGTTGAGAATGAGAATAGAGATGGAGGCGTTTGGGAGGCTGAAATGATTTGCCCTAAAAAAAATTAAAACAAAACCCATACAGTTTGCAATTGCAGAAAGAGAGAACGAGAATAGAGATGGAGGCGTTTGGGAGGTTAAAATGATTTGCCCTAAAAAAAATTAAAACAGGACCCATACATTTGCAGTTGCACAGTGAGAGAGAACGAGAATAGAGATGGAGGCGTTTGGGAGGTTAAAATGATTTGCCCTAAAAAAAATTAAAACAGGACCCATACATTTGCAGTTGCATAGTGAGAGAGAACGAGAATAGAGATGGAGGCGTTTGGGAGGCTGAAATGATTTGTCCTAAAAAAAATTAAAACAAAACCCATACATTTGCAGTTGTAGAGAGAGAGAGAGAGCGAGAATAGAGATGGAGGCGTTTGGAAAGCTGAATGATTTGCCCTAAAAAAAATTAAAACAAAACCCATACAGTTTGCAGTTGGAGAGAGAGAGCGAGAATAGAGATGGAGGCGTTTGGGAGGCTGAAATGATTTGCCCTAAAAAAAAAAAAACAAAACCCATACATTTGCAGTTGCAAAGAGAGAGAACAAGAATAGAGAAGGAGGCATTTGGGAGGCTGAAATGAACGATGGGATGGATTAATGAGATTAGGGTCTGTTCAGTAAATATTGGGCTAGAATAACATAGAACATCAAAATCATGTTCCAACTTTTGGGTCAAATAGTGAATTTGTTTTGAAAGTGTTTTAGTACGGTTGAGAACAAAATAGTGTGGGCCAAATATGTTGTGGACTCCAAATGAACTATTGTAGCGGGTCTGAAACAATACTACCGAAGAAATATCAAACAGGGCCAATTCTTCCGGCATAGTGAAAACATGTTATCTGAATAAGAATGCAATAATTATTTTCATAATTAATTAATTATTTTGGTTTGCGTGTTACTTATTTAATTAGTTATTTATTTAGAATATTGTCTACGTATAAAATTTTCCAACACAAATTTTATATGTCAACTTAATAATAATGAATAAAAAAAAAAAAAATCAAGACATATAATCATCACTGACATCATTGGGATAGGTTCAAAGAACATTCTCATTCAAGACCCGGTCCATTGATTGAGGTTCGAAGAACATTCACCTTGAGAACTCAGAAAATGACCCAATGGTGCTTCACCTTTTTGACCGCCTCCGTCACCCTACAATCTCTCTCTCTCTCTCTCTCTCTATATATATAGTTATACATACACCTGTGCTATATACTCCACACACACATATATATATAATTAAAATAAATAGCTATAACTTAAATTAAATTGGATTATCCAAAACCATTCCATCAGTAATAGGACTCTCTCTCTCTCTCTCTAGAAAATATTCCTATAATTGTTAAATAACGTTAAGACAAGTAAGCAGCTGCCCAGAAGAATCCTAACGAACAACAAGTTTGTTGCCATTTCCAAAATCTGACTTCAATCTCTCTCTCTCTCTCTCTATATATATATATGTATGTTTGTATATCTAACTCTCAATACAAAGCCCTATTTTTGTACCCAGCACCACAATGTCTACTTGTTTTTCTTGAACCTCCCTGCACGAATCGAAACCTCTCCAGAAAACAGAGCACCAAACCCAAATGGGTTTGATTATTGATGAAGAAGAAGAACGAGACGACGTCGTTCTGGTTCCACCCACCAATTTCTCCATGGTCGAAGATGGCATTTACAGATCCGGCTTTCCTCAACCCTCCAATTTCCCATTTCTTGAAACCCTCAATTTAAAATCAGTCATGTAAGTGTTGTTATATATACAATATATGTATATGTATCTTAATGATTCACAATTTTCTTGTATTGAGTTTGGGATTTTGGGGCAGATGTTTGTGTACCGAACCTTACCCTCAAGAAAATTTGGAGTTTCTTCAATCTCACGGTGTTCAGCTCTTCAAATTTGGAATTGAAGGGACTAAGGTATTTCAATTTTCTCCTTATATCTTTCATTTCTACTTTCTCTCTCTAAAATTATCAATGTGAGCATCAGAAAATCTTGGTTAGTGTTTGTATTATATTTGGTAATTTTTTGGTAACTATATTATATCTGGTGTAATGAAGCTGATGCATGGTTCTGTTGGCGCTCTTATGTTGGAAATTGAGAGGGTGGAACTCCAGGCTTAGCTTTTGTTTCTGAGATCATAAACTAAAATGTTATGTAAATTATTGGGGGGTTATTTCTTTTTGTCATACTATTTGTTGTGGCATGTTTTTTAGATGGTATGGACCAGTGATTACCACTTAATTTGTGATCCAGATGAATTTATTATTTTTTTTTTCCCGATGAATTTATTTACAGTGTATTATAATTGATGCAAAAAGTTTTGGGATGTCTATAAAAATCGATCTTTGTTCTTACATTTGGGTGTGTTTCGCCATTTATAGGGGAAACCCCAATCAGTTCTTAGTTTTGCCTTTTATTGATGGCGTTAGTATGTTAATAACATTTGACACTGCAATGCAAAGCAAGTGAGAAGAAAGAATGTAAAAAAGACCATTTGGAATTACCAGCTATGTCAATACCTGTGGGGGTTAAGGAATCCATTACGTATGTAACATTGTAGTTTTTTCACATTTTAACCGGACACACTTTACTGAATTTTAGCAAAAATTAGCGGGCAGCATTATTATGAAGTTCCCATTGTTAAGTGTGCTGCTCGGTAGGAGAGGAGCCATTTTAGTATTGTTGAGAACTAAAACGAGGTTCCAAGCATGCTAGTTCTTTTTAGGATTAAGTCTTAGAAGAATAACATCAAATTTGAAGAAATAATTGCATAAGATACTTTCTTGTTAGTACTTTGATTTGGTTCATATGACTGGTTTTATTTAATTATTTATTTTATCATTTATATTTTTGTCAATTATTTACTGACAATAAAATATATCAGGCTATATTCTTAAACGAAGATTTGCAGTTTTATTATTGGCTATACAATTTTTAAATAAGAAAAACAGAAATATATGATTTATATGTGGGTATTTTTATTACCACGTTAACTATTGAATCACTTGGAATGCTGATGATGCATGATGGAATGTGGCTAATTTGTTCACTTCTATATCTCAATGGTACTGATGTTTATAACTTTTTACATCTTAGGAGCAGAATATTCCGAGGGAAACTATCACGGAGGCTCTGAAAATTTTAATTGGTACAATTTATTGTGCTTTTCGTACTTGTAATTTTGATAACACTTTTTTCTTCTGAAACTTATCTTTTCATATTTTTTCTAAAATTCACTTTTTGGGTGTTTCTAGATGTCAGAAACCATCCGGTTCTAATCCATTGTAGACGTGGAAAGGTATGTCATGAATATTTGTCTTATCTTTATCAGTTATTACATTTTGTGTGTTTATGTCGTTCAACTATTAGAGATTATGGTTGGGGTATATTATTGCTTAAATTTCTGTGTATATGTGTGTTCTCATATTAAAGAAATAGAAACAATAACATGCCAGCATTACAATCATAATAAAACTCTACTACATCTTCCATTAGCTTATACAAACCTTCAGTTAATTTTTTTTTTTTTTTGACAAGTCAAGCCTTCAGTTAAACTTGTGGAAATTCCCAGACGGTAAAGTCTGGTTGGTTCCTTGAATTTAGAAGTTTTGAGTAATTTGGATAATGTGCAGCCACTATAATTCATTAGCCTGGCCCTCACTAGGTGGTCTTCCTTTGGTCTTAATGGACAATGTTGTCCTGGTGGTCCTGGCACTCAACCGTATTTTATAATTAAGATTAGTTAGAGCTTGACTATTCATAGATGGAGAATGACTAAAACTATATTTCTGTTCTTTAGCTGACTCATTCGAACTGTAGTAGACTCCTTTTTGTTCTTCTGTTATTTTATTGGTTATTTCTGAAAAGACTGGTTTCATTGTTGTTTTTCACTTTTACTTTATAATGTCATATTTTTATTCAGGCTGCTGTTGGATTCAATTTATTTCAAAAGGAATTATAGCATTTTTGTCCTGATTTTTTTTTTTTTTTTTTCATTCATTTTTATAAATATGAATGGCACCTTAATACTATCAATTCACAGAAATGCTTATTTCCTTTCTTTATGTCTTCTATAATTTTTATCTTTTATATTCTTTATTTTTCCCCCTTTATTGTGACTTGTACCTTTTTTTTCTCTCTTTTAACTGTGTTATATGTGTTCTAATATTTTTGCTGTACTTCCTGGCGAAAAAAATTCTGATTATCCTAAACCATGGTGGGAGCCACATGGACTCCACTCAAACTAGAAATCTAAAGGGATCAAATTAGGTTCGGAATGAAATTGTGATTTATTTATTAATTTATAATTGACCATTCTAAAAAATTTGGAAAAAGGTGGATCAGTTTTTCAATATTTAAAATGGTGGGTAAGTTTTATAAACTATAAAGTACCAAAGTGATATCCATATTTATTTTGTTGTTGTATTGTATACTTTATATGTTCCCTGCACCAGTTATCCATTTAAAGATCAAAGCTTATGACATTGTGAGGAAGAACCTTTTATGACTAAAATTTATCAGTAAAAACTATTAGAAAAATATATGAATTTATGTAAGTTTCCTTTATGTACTTGAAAATTGTTAGTTGATTCAGTTATTAGGCCTACTATGCTCTATGGAGCAGATTGTTGGGCTTTAAAAAAGAAAGAAGAAGAATGCCTTCACGTAGCGGAAATGAGAATGCTAAGATGGATGGTTGGAGTGACTAAAAGAGATTGGGTCACAAATGAAAGTAAAGATAAAAATTTGGCGTGGCACCCATCAATGAGAAAATAAGAGAGAGTATACTTAGATGGTTTGGGCACATACACCAAAGACCTATGGATGCGCTAGAGAGAAGGGGAAGTTTAATTTCCATAAAAGGTAAGAGACAGAGAGGGTGACCAAAAATAACGTGAGATGAAGTTATTAGAAATGACTTTAAAAAGTTAAACATAGTAGGAGGTATGGTGGGTAATAGAGAGGAACGGAGACAAAGAATTCATGTGGCCGGCCCCATTCATGTGGGAATAAGGCCAGGATGATGATATTTATCAAAAAAAATAAAATAAAATAAGGCAAGGATGATGATGATGAAATTAATTTTTTGTAGATTCCATTGGAATAAATATGATTGTCCTGTAGCTGCTGAATGACCCCAGTCAAGATAAATCATGGCTACATCATGCCTTCAATCCATACCCTATTTTACTTCCATAATTGATGATCAGACATATAATATTATAAGGACCATCAATCTTTTTACATGGAGGAACTAGGAATTCTGTAACACAGTCAACCTGTCTTCTTTGTTTGTTTCAAAATTTGTCCAACTTGATTCTCCTAAAATTATTATATACTTGATGATTATCATTCAGGGGTTTGTTCACCACAAAATAGGAAATCGAAATAGAACCTATGCATGCTATGTCTCTCTTGATTGTTTTAGTCAGAAGTTCAATCTTTTGGCTGACTGACGTCTTATTAGTGCCTCAATTGTTAAAGTGCCTCTACCTCTCATTTTTCCTTCGTATTGTTTAACTTCTTTTAAGGCATTTGGGTTGGGTCTGTAACTGATATTCTCGTGCTCTGTGGAAATTTAGTTTCTGCTTTTAATTGTAAGATGATTGTCAAGGTCTCATGGTGTTCTCTACTGCAGCACCGGACAGGTTGTCTCGTTGGCTGCCTGAGAAAACTGCAGAATTGGTGTATATCTTCTGTGTTTGAGGAGTACAAACATTTTGCTGGCACAAAAACGAGGTCAACGGATTTGAGTTTTCTGGAGGCATACAATGTCTTATGCCTGAAGCGCTGCCTTTACAGCATTATCTACCAGTACCACGGGTATGGTTCGAAGAAGAGGCGCTTGCTTTACAAACAAGAAAGTGTACTCAAGCCCCAGATAAAATCAATTTAGCAGGGATTGGACAACACTTTTCCCAGATATGGTCCTCAAAAACTCTGGTACCTCCTCTTGTTTGTTATATACGGATTTTTTTTCACACATCCATTCTTTGTGAGTGCATAAGCCCTTGTTTACAGAGCAGTTTTATACAGCTTCTGTGAAGACTATTTTTTTTTTTTCCCTCTTTTTTTCAAACGATGAATTTTATTTTTTTCGAACGATTCCCTTGTATTATTTTTATCAAGTTATTGTTCAGTTACATTTGTAATCTGAGAGCATTGTTTTCAGTCTTGCTCCAGAAATTCCCTTCACTGTTCTGTTGTACAATTTAAAAGATCCATTTTTTTTAAAAGATCAATTTTGATAAGCCTCTGTCTCTGTTAAACGATGAATTTTCACACACACACACACACATTCACGGATTGGTTGCAAATGTATATGCATGGAGTTGGAATGATGAAATACGACAAGTAATACAAAACAAGAGAATAATTTTAAAGAATGACTAAAAAAGTAAGAATCAGGAAGAACTAGGTAAATACAATCAATTGAAGAATGAAGCTAAGAAAATGGTAGATAAAGTCGAACAAGATTGCATGAACTATTTGTATAAAAAGTTAAGTACGAAAGAGGGTGAAAAAAGCTACAAATAAATTGGCAAAAAGGAGAGGGAGAGAGTATTTAGGGATTTGGATCAAATTAAAAGTGTCTTTCCCTTTTTCCTCTATTCCCTTTTTCCATTGTCATAAAAAAAAAATTGTTTTCTTTCTATTTGCTTTCCGACCCACTTTCCCAATTTGATTTTTTTTTGAAAGGCCAAAGATAAAGGGATAATAAGGTCAGTTAGAATTACACAATTGCTTTTTTGCTTTTGAAATAAAAAATTGGGTTAATATCTGCAGTCCAAGCAATATGGGTACCTTCAAAAATGTGAACAAAAGTATACACTTGTCTGCTTCCTCTATGAGAATGGAAACAAGTGAAGTGTTTTTTTTAGAGAATTGAAAATTAAAAATTATACAAAAGCTTTCCTTGATTCAGTTTTCAAATATAAGTTATAAAAAAACTTATTTTCGAATAACTTCTTTTATAATTTGATGAAAATACTTTTTTATCTTTGAAACTACAAACTAAACAGGCCAAGTGATTCAGCCCATCAATGTTGACCCATTCATAGGACGCCTGGAGACCCCTGTTACATCAAGCCCATTGATAGCCTGGTACCTCTCCAACTTACCGGCTTATCGGACTACTGTTAGCCCACTTCCCAGGGGTGTCGAGGTGGGCATGGCCCACGGGCTCCTTCTCATGGGCCCTTTGTTAAGGCCAGGCCTCTGAGGAACACAACAGCAGGGTCTCTGGCTGCTGGAGGGCTTCGACAATGTATGGAGTTGCTTCCTTCAGGGAAGGACTCCCCATTGACCCTAAAGGGGAGGAAAAAGAACCCCAATTCAGTTGTAGATGGCCGATGGTTGGGCCAAGTTCATCGGATGGTTCTTCTTCGAAGGAATTTTGGGTGTTATTTGGGCTTTACTTCCTCCTCATTATGTCCTCAACCTTCCTTACTACATCAAGTGAAATCATTTAAATATTTTCTTAGAGGGAGTCGATATTCGCACTCCCACTCCCTTTTTAATCAAATATAACTGTCTTAGAGTGAAATGACAAACATATTCGGAACTCATAAATAGAGAAATACCAAATGCCCCGACTGCCGACACTGGCTATAAGGGGAGAGGGGTGTCGATCCCACAACCAGGGCACCCTAGGCACAGTCGGTGTCGAGGAATCTCTAATATTGTTTTTATATAACACAACCAAACAAACCTTAAATAGTCTCAAAGTTATAAATGAGTTCAGGAGAGAGGGGAAGGGAGAGTTACAATCTAATATTTCTCATGATTTATACATTTTAACATAAACAAAACATCACCACCACCAATATTCACTGAAAAAAAAAAAAAAAAAAAAAAAAAACAATCACCATCCACATCATTGATCATTAATAACTATTGTCATCATAGTCTCTTTAGCCAATACCTAAGAGGAACAAATATTAATGTGTGGAGTGGCAATTAACTTGTGCAGCCATAGCAAGCTCAAACTGCCTCAAAGAAACAGAAGGGAGAGAGAGCAACTCAGGAGCCATGAGATTATCCCATCCCTTTGTGGGGTTGGTGGTAGTAGTTGTAGTACCATCAACTCCTATGTGTGTCACATGCTTCACGTCTGTTGGCAACCCTATTTGCATCTCCATTTCCAGCTCATCCATCTCTTCCTTGTACACTAATTAGTAATTATAAAGGAAATTAAGGAAAAAAAAAAGTATAAAGGAAATTAAACAATGGAATGAAAAGAGACAAAGCTGGTTTATTTATAATTGCAAAATAAGGTGAGCACACAAATTGCACAAGAAAAATTAATGATCAATCAATATGTTAGTGGCCTAGCGATACCAGATTCTTACTTCTTAAAGGAAGGTCAGGGGTTCAATTCTCAATAGAGGCATGTGTGTGTGGTACTAACTAGGAAAAAAAAAATAATCTAGAGATACAGGTGGATAGAGTAGATATTAGGTGCGTCGTGTACGCCATGTCATTGATATACTCACTTAATCAAATATAACATATTATCTTGTTATCAACAATTTTATAAATAGGTTAATTAACTTTTTTTTAAATGATGTATTGAGTGAGTATATCAATAACTTGGTGTGCGAGGCACATACAACTCATTACTGCATAATCCAATATATACTCCTACATGTGACGTTAGTGCATAATTCATTAATACAACTTCTTGAAGGTCACTTTTCGGGCACGACATGTGAAAATTTAGTCTTTAAGTTTTTGGGACAATTTGGCATGATTTATAACTGAAAATTAAATAATGAAAATTTTAATAACTAAATTAGAAATCAAAATTTTGATTTTGTTTTTAAAAAAAAATTAATAATCCAAGTGTTCAGCATTCACAGATAGTGAAGTCATTATTATTTAAAATTTTACCTCATTTTAAATAACACATAGCTTTTTAAGTGATATTCAAAATTACACTATTAAATACATTTAATTAGATAAGTACTTAATAATACATTCAGAATTCTGAATTAGATCAACAAACAGATCCATGAATATAGGGATGTATTTGGTTCAAGTCACCACTTCTAGATTTATTTTTTCGCAGTACAAGTGAAGTTTAGTTGAAATTTAAAATACACAACTATTTTAAAACTTATCTACCAACTCAAACTCAAACTGCTCAATTTGAGTGATTATAGTATGTTTTTCAAAAAAATTATTCCAAGTCAAAGTGAATTCCATAATTAATATTGGTTTTATACAAAAAAGACACAAGATGTTTAATAAATTATTGGATAATTAATTGAATAACTTGAAATATGGCATAGTGATGTTATTTTGAAAAGAGGTTGATATATATAATTTCAACTAGCTAGAAATGTGTATAATTCATTTTCTTTCACGTGAAGAAGCAGAATTGCTGGCAGTAGTAGTAAAAAAAATATATATATATTCCTTGGAAAAAGCTCTATTTAACCAATAATTTAATAAATAAAAAAAGAAATTGACAATATTTGAATCACACCCATCGAGTGAGACTAACCAAATATTTGAGAGAAGCTTTTGAAACCCTTGAACAGCCTTCTAATCCCAGTAGAAATGTTAGGCTTTGTAAGTGCCAGCATCCTAAATGATGAGCTCCTCAAGCTTTCACTTGATAAGCTTTCTTCCTCGTCTTCTCGAGTTCCTTCACAAGAAATGGTACACAACACGTTATAATCAAGCATTCCGTAAAAGAAACAAAGGACATGTTTGGTTCAGTTTTCTATTTTTTTGAGAATCGAAAATCAAAATATTGTAAAAAACTTGTTCGGTTAACCGTTTGTAACTCTTACAAAAACTTATCTATAAAAAAAAAAAAAAAAACATATTTTCAGCAAACGTTATAATTATTTGAAAACTAAATTAAGCAAATCGTATATATATATATATATATATATATATATATATATAAGTAGAGAGAGAGAGACTTATGGAAGATGAAGAAAGAGTGTCCAATTTTGATCTTCTAGGCTGTTGTGCACAAACTGCAATGCTGGACTCAGAGACACAACCAACAGAGAAGGGAAGAACTACAAGCCTTTCCATTCGGTCCCTCATTTCTTCTTCATCAATAGCTAGGTAGAGAGAGAAAGAGAGGGATCTAGAGAGAGAGAGAACTGGTGGTGGTTAGAAAAATGAAATTGTTGGAAATGGTATGGGGTTTGTTATAGTGGCTTCTGCTGGCTTTATTATCAAGTAAGAATAATTCTACACATGGAAAGTCAAGAACCCTCCAAGTTTGGTGAGGGAGACACAAACTTAAAGTAGTCTTTCTTTCAGCTCCAACTTACATTTTATGTTTGAACTTGCAATCACCAGAATTAGGTTCAAATTGCTATGTTTAAACTACTAATTAACAAGTCCCAAACCCACTCCATACCATAACACCTCTCTCTCTCTCTCTCTCTCTCTCTCTCTCTCTCTATATATATATATATATATATATATATATATCGGTAAAATGCCAAAAAAAAAAAACAAAATCCTAAACTATGATTGAATTTGTAAATAACCCCCTTTAAAGTATATTTTATGCATAATACCCTATGAACTATCATATTTTGTTGTAAAATACCAATGCCTAGACTATATTTTGATTAAATGACCATAATGTCCTTACTTATTGAATTAACTTAAACTATTTTTCTTATTGAAATAAATTATGAAAAAAATTCATACCAATTTGATGACATATTCTCTATTAATTTGCATAAATTTACTTTTTAATTTTTTTAATTAATTGTTTAAAAAAAATCTTAAATAATTTAATTAATTTCTTAATTTTTCACGAATATATTGGATGAAAAATAATGTATTTTTTATTTAATTAATTTGTTAATTTTTCATTAATATATTGTATGATAAAGAATGTATTTTTCTACGATAAAAATTTTAAACTAAGTATAATAATTTTTATTATAAATAATGAAGTTTTAATAATAAATTAATCATCTTAGAAAATGGTAGTTATAGATCTATTTAATTTTTTCTATTTTTATAATAAATTGATACTAATAATAAAATTAAGGTAAATAGTATAATTAATATTTAGATAAGAGAAAAAATAATAAAAATAATTTAACAAGAAATGATAAATCTAATGAGAAAGGGCAAAATAGTCTTTTACAATTAACTTGGCTTTTATTGTAACAAATCAATAGTTTAATGGGGGAATTTGTAGTTTAGGGGGTTTACTTGCAAAAGGCAAATATTTCAAGGAGGATTTTTGCACCTTACCATCCATATATATAGATATATATATAGATATATATATATCTACAGTGGGCTCCTCTCTTCACTTGCATCTCTTACAGAAGAAGCCACCATTTATTTTCAAAACTAGTCTCTATTAGTTCTTTTCTTTATAGTTAGGCAAAAAAGAAATAAATGTATAAGCTTAAACTGAACTCCACCTTATAGGATGAGTGTGTCACAAGAAAAATACAAATGGATGGATTTTTTATTTTCTGATTTTGACAAGGCAAGATGGTTAACTTGCATGCAGCAAAAAATAATAGATTTATGGTTTAAATTTTTGGTTGAGGATAGTGACCTCCCAATCAGGTTGAAATAAATTACTCATAATTTGTGTCTATTCCAATATGTAGGTTTCAATAATGTTTTATTCCTTAATATATCAAGCACAAGAGACTTACATATTATTACATAGAGCCAAAGTTACAAGCAGGTAAAGCAAAACATAAACACACCACGTGACAAGAAACCCATAAAGAGGAGCAAAAACAAAAAGACCCAAAAGAGACTGAAAGCCAATTGGTCTGTTGATGGTATCCACATCTTCTAAGCATATGTATCTTCCCTATGCGACAATATGTGCCTTTTTTTCACATTTTTGTGTCATAAAAAATAAGAAAAATTATTTGGAGTTCTGACCAATTCCGAACTTACGTTTGTCACCTAAAAAAAATTCTCAAAAACTATTAAACTATAAAAATATTTTGAAAGTGGTATAAGAGACCGTTCTGAAAGCAGACATTTTTTAAATTAAGTTTTTGTAAAATAGTTCTAAAAAATTGTCAATCCAATAGGTTTTGTATGATTTTTAATTCTTAAAAAATAAAAAAAATGTTCTCAAGAAACTAAACTAAACATACCATTAGTTTTTGCTAGATAATTGTGACGCCCACACCCCCTCATATCACGTACTAAAAAATAATTCATTTTTTTGTGGAATAATTGTCACACAAAGGCTAAGTCATACAATGTTATGCCTTTTTATCAATGAATTAGTTGGCCCAGCGATATCAGGAGGTTGGGGATTCGAACCTTGGTGGAGATAGGAGTATGTGCGTAATTACTTTAACTTTTCCCAAAAAAACAAATGTTATAGCCTTTTAAGTGAAATCATTTCAGAGGATTAGTGGGTTACAACCTCTCCAATTGGAATCTCAAAAATAAAAAGCTAACTAGCTATATGGTGAACAACACCAGAGCAAAATGAGAAACCACCATAATTTAATTTTGGTAGCATAAGTAGATTCCATCATTTGACTTTGTTGACCATTTGTTACAAAGTATTAACTTGAAAAAGAGAGTTAGACATAACAGAGGAGAGAGGAGGTGAAAGTAATTTACCCTATTAAAAAGAAAAGAAAAAAGCTCCATGTTCAACGCAAAGATCAAAGCATTGACACTATTGAGATGCATTTTGATTGCTTCTCTCATTATCTATCTTATTATATAAACTTTGAACTGTTTTAATGATAAAACTAAATACCAACACCAATTGCTTTGAAAATTGCAACAACCATTACTTCGAAAATACAATACTATTTTTATTATCAAATAATATTGAATTTGCTTACCAATGGCGAAATTCACCATGAAATTTTGTATCATTCTAGTAATAGGTGATGCAGCAAGATAACCAATGTTTTTAATGTACAACAAAGTATAAGAAGTGTTTATATGCACTCCAGAGGATCCATATATTTGGATAATACCTTCCCTGTAAGTTTTGTAACGGGCGGTTACCTGTGATTGTGTCGTAACGGGGGATACCTGTGGGTCGTGTCGTGTTATAATGGGGGATACCTGTGAGTCGTGTCGGTTGTAACGGGGGACACCTGTGAGTCATTTTTTGTTGTAACAGGGGACACCTGTAAGTCGTGTCGTATTGTTGTCTATGAGTTGTGTCGTATTGTTGTCTATGAGTCTTGTCGTGTTGCTACCAGTGAGTCGTGTGTGTGATATGTTGTAATGGGGGATACCTGTGAGTTTTATAACAGGGGATTACCTGTAATTGTGTAACAGGGGATACCTATGAGATTTGGCGTGATAGGAGATGCCTGTGCACCATTGTTCTGGTTGTAACGGGGGCTACCCGTGAGTTTTGTGTAGTATCTAGTTTATTTATGCTAGGATGGTGGACAAGTCCCGTAGTGTGGTTCAAGATTAGAGTGATACTGATGATAGTTAGTGTGTGAGCCCTTGGGGCAAGATATAGTTTGAGATGTTTTGTAATGGTTTTATGTTGTAATGTTGTACCGGTTGTGACCACTATGTATTAAAGCAATGACATATTTGTATGACTATGTGTGTATTCACAGATAGTTTTATTGGAGAATGATGTGTATTTTATGAGTAGTTGAGCTCTTATGTGTTGGTTTTATTGATAGATTGATGACAGAAGAGTTTTTAGCCATGTTACTTTAAAGGTTATCGATGAGGTTGTTTAGCGTCATGTAGTTGTTTCTATGAATGGAAGGTCTAGATTACCGCTTGTAAGGTTCTTCTTTGGGCAGGATGGGATGCGATGTCCTAGGATTCGTTGTTTAGCCCTGGCATTTATGGAAGGGGCACTGTTCTCTTTTACGTATGGATGTTAGGTGTACGAGTTGCAGATCGAGCTACGTCTCCGTATAGTTCCTCTTTCTTAGCATTTCGTATGCGAGGTGTCGATTAGTGTGTATTCATTTCTGTTGCAGGAAAGGAACTTGCTCTTCCTTCTTCTTATTTTGGTCCTGGCAAGGACTTTGTTGCTTGTGAGTTTCATATCTCTACATAGGAGTTGTGCGTGTCAGCAGACGGAAGGACTTTATAGAGTTCCCTATTTTATTAGGGATCTCGAGTGAGGGCTTGATCTTAATTGTTTGACTTACCTCCACGGTAGGAGGTGAAGTCCTTGAATTTGTGGGATTTGTACCGAGAGGTTATGTATGTTTTTCTTAGGGTCTTGGTGTTAGTAGCGGTATCTAATAGCTGTGTTGTGAACCGTGTGTCTAGAATAGACATAGAGATTGATGTGTGTGTGTGTGCTTAAGGATTAGACCTGAGGACAAGAACGACGTTGGTGTTGAGGTCAGATCAACGATGGGAATGGCTTAGCCAACCATTTCTCTGAGTCAGTCTTTCCTTAACATAATGTCGGGTCAAAGGTCAATGATTATTGCTTTTAGTGCGATTAGTGACAGTTAGAGTATGGTGTTTTACGTTGCGTACGTTTGGATGTGCAATCCCATTTTAGAGTGAGTCTCACTTGGGGTTGATGGTATTTTTTGTGCGTGTTCAGGTCACTTGTCGTGGATGGTGGTGTACTCGGCACGGGACTACGTGTCTAAGGAGTTTCAGTTGTTGGATCAGTTGATCCTTGAGCTATGCTAATGAGTTATTTTCCCAAGTACCTGATGGTACATTTGACAGGTCGGATGGTTTTCTCGATTACAATCGTGGGTGTTCAGTTATGATGTAGCTATTGAAGGCAGTAGTTATCAGAGATGGTTTTAAGAGTTTCTTTGGGATCGCGAGTTGAGCTCGCGTGTTGGCTCATTGAGCGGTTTGGTAACCACTGTTTTGTGGGCCTTAAGACGTTTAGCTCGGATTATGTGAGGAGCTGCTGGTTAGACCTACTATGTATGGGATCCAACAGTTTGCTGGTGGGATGTCTCGTGCGGACCGCATTAGTGAGATTTTATGTGTTGGATTGACTGAAGTTGTTGTTTACGGATTTAGTATCGACTAGTGGTATGTACTGGTTAGAAGGATGACAATCCTAATGGTTCTTAGTGGTCAGGTTTCAGTGGAGTCACAGAGTTAGTTGGGGGCTTGTGCCTCGTGTGCTTGTAGGTGACGGTAGAGAGTTTTGTTCGTCACAACGGTGCCTTTTTCGTTCAGTTAATTATTATAGGGGATGAGAT